ATTCCTTAAAAGTGGCGAACTTCCCTTTGATAAATCAATGGTATGTTTTAAGTCGTGGCTTCTCCTTGGCTAGAACTTTCACCACAATTGTTTATAGATTCCATGGGAATCAATCTCATATGATTGGAATGATGAATGCATAGCAAACGAAGCTAGTGGACCCATTCTTCTTCACAGGTTTGGCCATGAATCTAAGGCTTATTTTCCTTTTCGATACATTTGCCATGTAAATACGTAGCGAGGCTTGAATTTTTCATCGTATGAACACAGTGAGCCCTGTTCTTTCTACCATTCGCCTGTTTCTCCTTCCATTCTTTTATTCAAGGTAGCAGAGTAAACTCGTATTTTTGCAATATTAAGATAGCTTTTACGAAGAATGAAATTTTCTCGATTCCTTGAGTTGAGATATTTATCATCTGTGCTTGTAATTAATTTTATTAAATCGATCAGGTTGAAAAGTTAATTGATATTGATAGCTTTGCTGCCAATTAGGCAGATATCCCTCGTGTGCTTTGATAAATACAAATAATTTAACCCAATCTTCGTTGCTAAATATTACCTAAACATATGCAATGGATTTACGTGGAAATTACAAAATTTATGTAATTCATAAACAGGGAGCTCAGCATACAAACCAATTAGCCTGGTTGCAGAGAAAATGACTGCTTTTACTCTCATCATTACATTTCAATAATGTTTTAGTACGCTATAGCAAAAGAATCGATGCAACATCAGAGTGTTAGGATTCGAAAGTCCTACTTTTGTTGCGAACAACGCTGGCGTTTCAAAGTCATGTGGCCACGAACGCTTTTCGGTCTAAATGGGTTTTCGTCAACAGATCTTAATTCCCGTATTTGCCGACGTATAAGACGTACCGGACTATAACGCGCACTCTCTTTTTAGTACACATTTTTGAAGAATTAAAACTTTATTACTGATCATTATAATGAGTTTACATGTTGTAAATATAAAGTAATACAAATATAAAGCAATACTTTCTGCAATTACCCAATCTACCTGGGAAAGAACACATTTTAATCTTCTTCGTCAAACCTCAGACACTCATCTCCAGAGATAAATAGTCACTTCAAATCTCTTCTAAATCAGCATTTGAGTCCTCATACCAAAAATTGTCCTCTGTACCATCCAGTGCATTACTAATGTCACACACTTCTTAAATGATTTAACAACTGTCAGTTTTCCCAGCATCCCACCAAACTTTGACCCATTCGCAAACTTTCGAAATGCTAAGCCTCTTCCTTCTTCTTGATGGTGTAAACTCAAAATCCGAAGACTACATTCAGCTGTTCCACTTCTTCATAAGTCCCTTAAATTGTTTATTAATGCAGACATCAAAAGGCTGAAGTTGACTTGTTACGCCTCCTGGATTTATAGCTAACTGAGTTTCGTGTTCTTTGAGTTTATTTTTAGCATCTTCTGTTGGGCGAGAACGAAACTGATCCCATACTAGTAGAGCAGGTTTCTTCAACAGTCCGCTAGGGCGCCTCGACCAAATTTTATCTATCCGTAACTTCATTCTTCTTCCATCCATCCAGCTTTTTGCGTGAACATGGGAAATCACTCCTTTAGGCAGTCTTCCTTTAAAAAGTCAATAGTGGGAACAATTTTGTCCCATCAGCACTGCAGGATAAAACAAACGTGTAGTGAGTTCTTTCGTGCCTTAAAGTTTTGACAGTAACACTTTTGTACCTTTGGGATCCACAGTTTTGTTTGAGGGCACATCAAATGTCAAAGGGACCTTGTCCATATTTTCTATTTGTGCAAGTTAAAAATTTTCTCGTTTTCGTGCATTAATGACGAATCGATGAAATTCAATAATTTATCCCTTCATATTCCTCTTTTTTTTTTTTTTTGCGATAATTTTGTTTTAGTCCGCATACATAGCTGGTTTCTCTTCATGAATCTTGAACAACATGATGTTGATCCAGTAAAATCGGCAATCCCTCAATCAGTCGCTATCGCTTCCGCTCGATGAGTAATCACTTTTGTAGAGACTGACGGGTCATTAGGATTTTTCTGTGGTCCAAAATCCAAGTATTCAGCTCTGCCTCAGGTTCAGGCCATTGTGCAGTTCCGCTTCGTAGGTAATGTTTACTCTGAGTTACTTTTCTTACGTTTGGAGCCCTTTTCTGTTCATTCTCTTCCTGATTTCGCCAAGTTCTGATCATTTTTTCACTTGGGGATCGCCCGAAATGCCTCTCTGCAGTGCTGTTTCCATGTTCTTTAGCATACACAGTACACGTTGCTTGTATGCTATGTTATAGCAATGCCAACGTTGTTTTTGACCCATAACGTGCCAACAAATTTAAGAAAATTGAACAGTAGAACTTTTACACAATTAAATGTGGTTCATAAAAATTGGAAAGTTTAAACGAACCCAGCTGTGATCGTGGATGACAGCGCATGCGTATTCATTAAACTCTTACGTAACTGTAATATTCCCTACTCCGCAAGGAAACAAGAAGAAAATGGCATATCTCAGAATAGAGAAAATTTCCAGAAATAAATACAATCAAAAACTGAGTATCGACATATAAGACGCACACAGTTTTTCAGACCTTATTTTCAAAGAAAAAAGTGCGTCTTATACGCAGGCAAATACGGTAAATACTAATATAACTACGTAGATATGCCTCAAAGGAATGCTGAGTTGTGAAAGCGTGTCGTTGTAGTATATTATAATACCAGATTAGTTATTAAGTACGATCGAAACTCCACAGAGTTTCTCTTTTACTGATAAATATTATGAAATTTAGCTTGACACAGGACGTGATGTGATGTTGACAATTACCATATTATTATCAAAAGGAATACATTCTCTAACAAACAATCAAAACTTTCTGCTTTTCATTAGTTTGGAGCCTTTTCTGTTGATTTTAAAGGAATTATCCAAGCGTGAGGAAAACAGTTATGTGTTACGTACATGAATAAAAATGAAATCACCGTGATTTCAGAGCAGCGAGAGCCATTTTTTCTGAAAAACAAGATAAGTAAAGTATGATGTATTTCCACTTTTGGATCAAATATAAGCGATACCTTGCAAGATGTAGCGTTAATAGATTACATATTGAGCTAAGCCAAGTATGAAGTACTTAATTGGCCAATGCGTTGGCATTTTGGAGAGAACGTAAGAATATTTCATTACGTGCTAAAGACAGACACATGACTAGGCGAGCTATGGGATAATAACGGCATTTATACAAAGGCTACTTTAGAAGCGCTACTTATTGTATTGTTGAGCAATGACGTGATGATATTGTGGTAAGAGTGGTAACAAAATCGGTCGACATACGATAAACGCTTAAGGGTGGTTCGAGAATATTGGCGAGAGAGTTACTCTCGGTATGGGACACGTGATGTTTTCCAATAAAAGCAGATTCTATATATCTGGCCATCCACCTAGAAACATGTTAAAGTGGGTTTTGAGGAACAATGCGAATTGTGTTTCATCACTGAGAACAACCACACGACCAGCTGGACACTCTCCATTGCTGACCGGGACAGATATCTCTGCACATGGTGCGCTGCCTGTTCTCATTGGTCATTAGCAGACGACAATACGACCGTCTGAAATGTAGTATCGTTTCTAGATTCCTTTCGTCACAATTAAAATTGGCCATATCATATGGCCATGCATAGTGAAAAGCTATGATACGTACCTGTTCCTGCGATTTTTTATACTAGCTTTTTGATGATATCCTATGGCCTTCTTGCTTATCCAATGGATGCGTGTTTTAATTTGTCTTCCATGGCCATTGGAACAAGGATCGTTTAATTGCTTCGTGAATTAAACGCTAGAAACGCCCATCTGCTAGATTAAAATAGCCGGCCTCTTTCAGCCCTATGGTGAAGGATCGGTCAATTTCTCGCATTTTTTTCCGTATGCACCTGGTATCAGTTCTCAGAAGTATCTACAACCGAAACTGTCTCTATTTTGAGATTTCAACTTGTGTAATTTCCTTTTCCCAGCTATTCGGGTGTCTTAAACACCGTTCCACAAGAGACTGACTTGTCTTTCCGAATGCGCCTTTGGTTTCACTAATTGGACTGTAGTTTGCCAGACTGTTCTCGAGCATCGAATATCAGAAATCCAATTAGAAGCCAGTGCCCGTGAAATGATATATTTAATACTGTTTAGAAAATTTTTAAAAGTGGAAATTTTTTTGAAATATATGTTATATTTTTGAAACTTTTGTTGAAATATATGTTACAGTGTTATATTATATGAATTTCAAATATGGTTTTAAAATAACAGAGGCAGTGACATAAATAATATTACTTCATGAGAAAGTTTCTAAGTCCCAAGAAGATGTTTCTTCTGTCTGAGTGTGAGTAATCATAGATTAGGTATCTTAGTATTATATTGTGAATAATCATAGATTAGGTATTGACTTATTTCAAGTAAGCGAGAAGATATTAATGACCGTTGTTCATTTAATCCATAACTTGACAATAATTCCATAAACGATAGTAAGAACCTGCAGACAGCGCGTCTATAGAAGTCATTATGCGGTACTTATTTTTGCAACCGTTGGTCGAAGACATATACGTGTAGACATACGACAAAAGGTTGCAAGAATAAACGCTGAATAAGGACTTCCATGGGAACGATAATATTACTTCTATAATATTCCATAATATTCTATAATGTGATATCACCGGAAAGGTTTGGTTTATTTAATCATGGAAAAGCATTCGAAGGCTATCTGTTTAAGAAGAGGGTTGCGTTTTTGGAGGGCTTTTCTAAGGGAAACTGGCTCGTATACACGTTACACATGAGGAAAACCACGAACGACTATGTAGCCAGCCCGTTCACCTTGATTCGAACTTCGGACTGAACTACCAATGTTCAGCGACTTTACCACTCGTCTGCTGGTGGGCCTATTACAGAAAGGAAAGACATTAAGACTCATTTATTTTAATGAGTAATGTAAATGTTTACAGAAAATTTAATCGTAAATGTTTACAGAAAAGAACATAATATTAATTAATCTGAAATACCTTTCGGAAATATTCCCTTTTTATTTACTAAAAGAGGTAAAATAGTAAAACAAATTAACTTTTAGTGTTTATAAATCAAGTTATGATGAATTAATATACTGCACTAAAACATAGATTTTGATATAATGAAGTAGATAGCAATAAAATTTTAGTATTATACTTGATAATATCCACAAGATAGGATTTTTTGCGATAAAAGACAAAAGTCATTCTTTATTTCCCATTTACTCATTCAATATACCTTTAAGCATTGCAAAATCTTTCCATGAACAGCAAACTGCAATGTGTATTATTTTTGAGGAAACAGATAAAAACACTGAACGATCATCAATACGCTTTGAGACTATGCAATTTTAACTCGGATATTGAGCAAAGTAGCTGAATGATTCGTAAAACATCTGAAGTAAATAGTGCATTTCATAATTCATGTTTGCGAGATTTTTAACCTTACATTGAGAAATGAAAAACATTCATTTCTATTCAGGAGTGTCTTCAACTGCAAATAAGTTAAATCACACAAAGTCTGTTAAAAATATGATATTTCATATGGTTCTTCACTAACAAAGCTAGCCTTTTACTTAAGAGCAATTTCCTAATTATTTGGCACTCTGAAATGTTCTATGATACTTCAAGTAAACAAAATAGCTAGTCATGCTGAAGTATCATAAACTGCAGATTGAACACAATTTCGGGTCACTCGAACCCCTGTAACATTCAAAAGTACCTACCCAGTAGAAATCATAATTCCGCGCATTGTATTACAGAGGATTTACACGAATAGTATATGATAAGTTCATTTCAAATCAAGTGGACACACATCTCACAAACATTCATAGGTCTCTGTTTCACTTTTGCACTCTTTGCAAGTTACATGACAGCACCAATGAAATTTGCAGTGGCAACGCTCAACTACATTTTGTAGATGTCTGCTGTAACCACGACCACAACAAAGAAGTTCGCAACCATCAACATCCCTGGATGTCTTATTACATTCTCGTCCATGGGTTCCCAGGGATCCAATTTTATCATTAGGTTCACAAAAGTCTGGTGAAGACTTCAAGTAAATAAGATCAACATCTGTAAATGGCTTGAATACATTACTGACAGGGGCTAATTTTGTTCTTTTGCCCATTTTTTTCGGCCTAACTTCGGTAGCTGCATCAAATCGGTTCTTGAGATCGCTACCAATCATGCGAAACTCTGGCATAGCTCTCCAACATGTCTTCGTTTGGCAAGATCCTGATGCACCATGGCATTTACATTCGATACGCATCTGGTATTCAATAGCCTGAAAAAGTAAAATCTGATTATATTTCTGAAGACAGAAATAAAAATTATTGAACAGAATGAAACAGTCATAAGCTATTAATGAACATTTATACGACTAAGGTTCTATAAGATAATACAATAAAACTAAATTGGACAAAACTTTGGGACACGTTCAATTAATGCAAAGATTTTTAATAACCGGCAAAAAAAACCTACTTGAAATTCCATAAGTAATATGCACCAAAAATATCCAGAACCATAACGTCGGCCTACGAAGTTATTAAAGAAGCGGCATAATCGTTCCGTTTCTGTGGCAAAAGTATAACGTGATGAACTTAGTGAATTATTAAAAAAAAAAAAAAAAAAAAAAAAAAAAAACATCATAAATGCCATTTTTGGAATGTTGCTTTGGCAGAAAAAGTATCTTTCTTTTAAAGAATATTACTTCTATATTACTTCTTACTAGACAAAGTAAGTAACGTTCAATGTTTACTTTTTAACTTGTAATACAGATTTTACTGAATGCCAAAACAGCCTCTTTTATAACTTTGTAGAGTTAAATACTTATAAAGATTTAAGCTTCGTCAACTTTGATGCACCTTAATTCAAATAATTTAAATTCTGATCTCAGGTTTTGTTGTCTTTTGTATTATAGTTCAATATTTCAGAAAGAGCGTTTTATATTTATTTAAAAATTACGTGGAAAAAAGGCAATGATTATAAAATGTCACAAAACAATTCAAGACACAAAAATAAAATTCCGGTATCAGATTTCATAAAGACAGTTTAAATCATCAAAATTATGCCAAAATTGCGTTTCCGTAAGTAACTTATAGTTTGCATAAATGGTATTAGATTTATATTAAAACACTCATTTGAAGTCAAAGAAGGGAAGAGAAATAAATTTATCACTTTATACGTAGGAAATATAATTTACATTTCTGCTAACTATATATGTAATATAAAATGAAATCATTTACATAAAATAAGAAAAATAAATTGATTACTTTGTAAATAGCATAAATTATAATTTATTAGTCTGATAATCAAATTTATACTAAGGGATGCATTTTACCTACGTGGAAGAGAGACAGGATATTTTGTTACTTTATATATAACGTAAAATATAAAAATGAATGTAAAATTTGTATTACATAACTAATAATTAACTACCGTATTTGCGGGCATATAAGACGCACCCCTTTCTTATATATATTTTTGAAGGATAAAACTTCATTACTGGTCATTATAATGAGTTTACAGTATTTTAAATATAAAGTAATACAAATATAAAGCAATACTTTCTGCAGTTACCCAATCTATCTGGGAAAGAACAGATTTTAATCTTCTTCGTCAAATCTCAGACACTCATCTCCAGAGATAAATAGTCACTTCAAACCTCTTGTAAATAAGCATCTGAGTCCTCATACAACAAATTGTTTTCTGTACCATCCAATGCGTTACTAATGCCACACACTTCTTAAATGATTTAATACTGCCTCTGTTTTTATAGCATCCCATGAAGCTTTGACCCATTCACAAACTTTCGAAATTCTAGGCCTCTTCCTTCTTCCTGATGGTGTTATAAGGTATCTCTCACACATTCTTAGTGCACCTTAGTGGTGTAGTGTTCTGCACGCTGGGTGCGTAAACCAGAGGTCCGCGGTTCGATTCCAGGTGAAGGCGTTGCTCATTTTTCATCTTGCCTGCTTCCAAAAATATCTAATGTCTCTTAAGTGTAACCTCAGAATTTGAAGACTGCATCCAGCTGTTCCACTTCTTCTTTCTAAATCCCTTAAATGTTTTGTTAATGCAGACATCAAAAAGGTTGAAGCTGACTAGTTACGCCTCTTGGATTTATAGTTAAGTGAGTTTCCAGTTCTTTGAGTTTATTTTTAGCATCTTCTGTTGTGTGAGAACGAAACTGATCTCATAGTAGTAGGGCAGGTTTCTTCAACAGTCCGCCAGGGCGCCTTCATCAATTTTTTTCCATCCATAACTTCATTTCTCCTCCATCCATTCAGCCTTTTGCGTGAACTTGTATAAAGATGCCTTTAGGCAATTTTTCTTTGGGAATGTCTTCCTTTAAAAACTCAACAGTGGGAGCAATTTTGTTCCATCAGCTCTGCAGGATAAAACAACCGTGTTGTGAGTTCTTTCATGCCTTAAATTTTAACAGTAACACTTTTTGTACCTTTGGGATCTACAGTTTTGTTTGAGGCCACATCAAAATTCAGAGGAACCTTGTCCATGTTTCCTATTTGTGCAAGTTAAAAATTTTCTTGTTTTCGTACATTAATGATGAATCGATGAAATTCAATAATTTGTTCTTCATATTCGTCTTTCTTTTTGCGATATTTTTGTTTTAGTCCGCATACATAACTGGTTTCTCTTCATGAATCTTGAACACCATGATGTTGTTCCGGTAAAATTGGCAATATCTCTATCAGTCGCTATCGCTTCCGCTCGATGAGTAATCATTTTTGTAGAGACTGACGGGTCATTAGGATTTTTCTGTGGTCCAAAATCCAAGTATTCAGCTCTGCCTCAAGTTCAGGCCATTGTGCAGTTCCGCTTCGTAGGTTATGTTTACTCTGAGTTACTTTTCTTAGATTCTCTTCCTGATTCTGCAAGTTCTTACCATTTTTTCACTTGGGGATCGCCCGAAATGCCTCTCTGCAGCCCTGTTTCCATGTTCTTTAGCATACGCAGTCACACGTTGCTTGTATGCTATGTTATAGTAATGCCAACGTTGGTTTTGAGCCACAAAGTGCTAACAAATTTAAGAAAATTGAACAGTAGAAATTTCACACACTTAAATGTCGTTCATAAAAATTGGAAAGTTTAAACGAACCCAGCTGTGATCGTGGATGACAGCGCATTTATTGAACTCTTACGTAACTGTAATATTCCCACACTCCGAAAGGAAACAAGAAGAAAATCGCATAACTTTGAATCGAGGAAATTTCCAGAAATGAATGCAGTCAAAAACTGAGTATCGACGTAAAAGATGCACCCCGTTTTTTAATGAAAAAAATTATTATTTTACGTATAAAAATTTTAGCAGTAACATAGTGTTGTTAAATATGGGAACAATCAAACATTTTTTTAAACAAAGAAATTAGAAAATAATTCATCTGGGCTCTAACTCGCAGCCTAAAGCTCCTTGTAAAATCTAGCATTTTTGTCGACTTTGCGAAGCGATCGAGCTAGTAAACCAAAGCGAAAGTTAAAAAAAATTAGTGACAGTAGGAAACCAGAATCATAGTCAAATAAAAATAGAGAATAAATTGGCCCTTTTTTGTTTGTCAGATTTCTCATAATGTAAGAATATAGTAATTGGCTTAAACAGGAAAAAACATTCTAGCAGATTTTGTTAACGCTAACAAATGAGGTAAAAAGTACATCGCTGTATAGCTCATGATAACAAATAAATTTTATCAACGTGAAAAAGAAGTATTATTTATAAAGAAATCCATCCGAAAGATTCGAAACAAATGTCGCATGATAAATCAAGCTTATTAAAATAATACAAAAAAAAAAAAAAAATTGTGGTGTATGTTATTAAATAAGGAAAACATTGATATACAAGCCGCTATTGTTGTTCGGACTTGTGATTTCTATACAGTTTTACTGGCTGATGATATTTCAGTCTTCAGCAACTTTGTTTCCCATCGTGCTCATGGTCACTATTCATGACGCAGACGCTTCCGATATGTTACAGTCGTGCCAGAAATGTTTCCCCTCGTAAACGAGCTGGTATAGCAGCCGCAGACATCGGAAGAAACTTTTCGGTAATATATTGCTTCGTGTAGACGGGGCTATAAGACTAGATAAGGAAAAGTATTTAACATCAGATCGATCACTCCGGAAAAAAGAATCATAAGCTATGACATTATAAGTAAGAAAAAAAATGACACATTGAGTAAAACTTCTTTAAAAGGCGATAGTGTTCGATCACTGCAAGTGCTTCTACTAAAATAAAACTCACACCAAATAACATTATTTCACTCCTGCTTGGTAACCTACTATTAAGAATCTAAGAAAGCGGCTACAGCAAACTAGCGATTGAACTGTCCAATTCTAACCGAACGCGATAATAATTTAGAAATGAATTGATCAGAACTGATCAGAACAGAGAAAATTTGTAAACCGATTATGCTTTCTGTACTGTTCTATTTACTTAAAAATTTCTTTTATTAATTTTTTACCATGAATTTTAAATGGAAGCTGAGAGTTTATCTCTTTTTAAAAAGGCGAAAAATAAATCGGGAAAGAGAAAAACAGGAAAGTTAAAATGAATGTAAGAAAAAATTGCGAGATGCAAAATAGGCTTTGTAAAGCTATATATAAAGTAAATTTCAATTTACAACACTTTCTGTTTTCAAATTTGTGTATAAAAATTTTAAAGACATGAAATTTGTAATCAACTTGTATACAGGGTGATTCTAAATTGTTTTTACATATTTAGAGGGGGAATAGTACCAATCCAGATGAGCAATAATTATCATAGAACATAGGGTCGCATTTCACTTTGAGAGTGAGGAAAGTAGAAACGCATTGAGGAAGAACAAGGAGACTAGCTCTTAAGACTATTAAGAATTAACCGTATGCAAAGTTTCAGTGAGAAGAAGCAGCATTTTGCTCTTAGTTGGTACCGGAGAAAGCCAATCAGAGCAAATGGTGTTCTCGAAAACGACACAACATCATCGCTTCAAGTATTACCTTGATAACATCGTACGAACCTTTTTGTGAATGCTACGGCGGAGTACACTTACGAGGAATTGGCAAATATTCACCTCACATACGGTGGCACATACTCTCAACCAGTGGCGTGGCGTATTTTACACGAGGAACGCATGCACCCCTACCACGTGCAAAAAGTGCAGTCTTTGAACAAAAATGAACAGATGATTATCCCTGCCAGGAATATTTCGTGCAATCGATGTTTGAAATGGGGACTAACGATCCACGATTTCCTGCATTGATATTATTTAGTCATTAGGCAACATTCAACAG